GAAATTTTAGTAAGATTCGACTTTCATTATTTTTTATAAGAAAACAAAAAACAATTAACAACAAAACTAAATAACAATTTAACCGATTTTTAATGAATTCGAATTTTGAACTTTTTAGTTTTCCTTAATGACACAAAATGTTCCTTTTTTTTTCCATATTTTAAAAACACGAAAAAATTAACAACAAAATGAAATAATACTTTAACCGATTTTTAATAAATTCTTTAAAATTTTCAGTTTTTACAACACTGCGACACTTAAAATTTAATTTTTTTCATATTTCAATAACTTGAAATTGATGTAGTTAAACTTAGAAGCCCGAATTTTCCTTTAAACACTAAAGTTTCATCGCCTGAGTCATGTCTCGTCAAATTTGATGGCAGATTCCAACAACTGTAAAAAATAATTGAGACTTGACTCAAAACCCACGATCCCGATCTCGGCCAACCCAAAGCCGCAAAAACTGCCCACAACCGCTCCAGATGTTGTCAATATGTTTGCATCAAACTCTCCCAAATCGAAAGGGTTGTAACCCAAACACAATAAAACCTAACGATACCTCACGTCCGTCGTTTTGGCAGGGCCACCCATGAGCCGTCGAAAGCCTGTCAACTCCCGTGTAAAACGACCATCTCCAATTACAAGCAAAACAATCGCATCAAGCGCCAGCAAAAAAAAACTCACAATTATCTGCAGATGACGTTGAAATGCCTCCGTATTGGTAATTGTACGTGTCGGATGGCGTCTCCTGGTTGTCGCCAAGGGGGCTGATGGGSGCCTTGAGATACGAACTCGAGATGGCCGTTTCTGGGTACGGGGGCAACAGGGCGGAGGCCGAGCCCCAATCACGCTCGCATTGTTGCTGGTACACCGGATACTCATAATTGGTGTAATGCGTGGCGGAGGAGACTTGTGGTGAAGAGTTGTAGGAGCAAGTGGAGTACTCCTGGGGTTGGACTAGGGTTTGGGGGTCATAACTCGGGGTTTGGTTTACCATTCCGGTCATGTTATTTGTGAAAAAGTTTCCGGGGTGGTATTGAGGCTTCATGGCTTGACATTTCCGACGGAAGCCTCGAGGACGTCTCCGGAAGGACCCCTCCTCGAACATGAACTCACTCGCAGGGTCAATGGTCCAATAATGGCCTTTCCCAGGACGCCCTAAGCCCTTTGGTAGCTTGATAAAACACTCATTTAGGGATAAATTGTGACGAACTGAGTTTTTCCATCCTTGGTAAGAACCCCTGAAAAATGGGAATCTTTGTTGGAGGAAAGAGTAGATTTCGCTGAGAGTGAGTCGTTTGGTGGGTGAGTGTTGTATAGCCATGACAATGAGTGCGATGTAGGAATAGGGCGGTTTTTCTTGTCTCCGGATCCCGGATTTCTTATCCGAACTGGAGGGTTTGTCGTCCGGAGCGGTGCTTTCCGGGTGTTGTTGTTGTTGTTGTTGGGGTGGTTCGTTCGGTAGGATAACACTGGTGTGGTTCTGGTGCAAATGCAAGTGGTGGAGATGCTGTTGGATGTTGATGCTCTGGTGGAGCACCGGAGCGAGTTGGTTAGAACCACTCACTTCAGACAACTGTTGCTCCTTCATCATACTTTAAACATTTACGCCGTGGTAAACTAAACAATTTAATCTTCGTCTTTATATTACAAACATTTGATACTCGTAACGAGTTGTATACACAAATATTGTATACACAGTTTATATACAAACACGCGACGAAATCGTACACAATTTACGCGTTTTATATACAAATGTCGGAGCAGTAAATTTCAGTGATATTAAAATGGTCGAGGTGCGGACACGTAGACGGTCAGTTGTGCTCTGAAACTCGACGAAACCGCGATTTTGAGAGTGATGCACGAGACGAGAGCAAGGAAACTAATTCAGGCGGGTCTTGGTGCATGTGGATGTGTGTGTGGGACGTCCCCACCGAGCCCCGCAACGCAACGAGAGATAGCGAGATGTAGCAAGACACTTCAAGGAAAGCGTTTTTTACATTATCTTACAGAAAAGTGAACTTTTCAGGAAGATTTGGMWCAAGTGGTGTAGTGTGACTCACTCAATTCAAAATCAAAGAAGAAATTTGATAAAGTAGGGTAAATCCGGGAGAAACTSACCAGTGGGATAGATGTAAACTTCTATATCTAATTTTTGTTCTGACTATATTTTTAAATCAAAAATGTTAATGCAAAAAAAAAGTGTAGACTTGTTGTTTTAAATCTTCATATTTCAAAATATGAATTTTAAAATGTTAAATTAGAATCTTTAATTTGTTTTCAGTTTGCGACACTTAAAATTTTCATTTTTTTTTTAATTTTTATAAGAAAAAAGAAAAATTAACAAAACCGATTTAATAAATTTGACTTTTTCATTTTTTTCAGTGTTTCCTTTTATGCGTCATATAATTTATATTTTAAAAACATAAATTTTAGTAAGATTTGACTTTGATTATTTTTTATAAGAAAAAGAAACAATTTACAACAGAACTAAATAACCATTTGACCGATTTTTAATGAATTCGAATTTT